AAGATTAAAAATGTGGCCAAGGTACGTCTCCCAGAAAAGGGTTGAGTAAATACAAGAAGGAAGTGAGCCACCCAATATGAGGAGGAAGAACATCCAGGCAGAGCTAGAACTTGAGGAGAGGCCAAGCATGTTTAAGGGACAGCCTTAAGTAAGTGGGCAGAAATGAGGCAGGGGATTTTCCAGACAGATTACTAGGGTTTTGTGGGTTATCACGTGGACTTCGGCTTTTTTTCTAAGGGGAATGGTGAATCACTGGGGGCTTTGAGCAGCAGGATTACATGAGCTGACTCATGCTTTATAACTCAGACAGCTGAAGAGACACTGTCAACTGAAAAAAGGATTCATTATCTAGGAGAGAGAAGATGGTGGATTTAACCAAGGCGATCACAGAGTGGATGGTATGAAATCTCCAAAGTCTGGATTTATTTTGGAGATGAAGCCAATAAATACTCCTGATGATTACATGTGGAAGAGAATAGAAAGAGATGAATCAAAAATAGGTCTTTGGCTTGAGCAATTCAAAAGAATGTCTGCTCTAAACTAGGATGGGAAGGCTTCAGATAGCCTGGAAGTTAAAGTATGGACATGTTAGAGTTCAAAATGTTTATTACTTGCTAAGTAAGTGTCTGGATTTACAAATCTGGAATTTAAAAAAAAGGCCTGGGATGAAGTATAAGTTGGGGAATCAGTGATATTGATGTATTTAATCCTTAAAATTGAATGAAATCTCCAAATAAATAAGGGTCATTAGATATGAGGACCAAAGACTAAACCCTGGGGGTCATTCCAAGATTATAATTTAGAAAGAAAAAGAGGGTCCAGGTGTGGTGGCTCATACCTATAATCCCAGCTCTTTGAGAGGCCAAGGTGGGAAGATCACTTGAGGCCAGGAGTTTGAGGCCATCCTGAGAAACACAGCAAGATCCACCTCTATGAAAAAAATAAGAAAATTAGCTGGGCATGGTGGTACACACCTGTGGTCTTATCTCCTCAAGAGGCTGAATCGGGAGGATCATTTGAGCCCAGTAAGTGACGGCTGCAGGGAACTGTGATTGCACAACTGCAAGTCAGCCTGAAATTGACAGCAAGATCCTGAAACTGACAGTAAGATCCTGTCTCAATAAATAAAGAAAAATTAAAAATATTTTTTAAAAAAAGAAGAAAAGGAACAACCAACCAATGAGACAAAAAAGAAAAAAAAATCAATAGAGTCTACTCTCTTGGTAGTCACATAAAGAAAATGTGATAAGCAGAAGAAAAAGATTTGTGTCAAAAGCAGAAAAGTTATTTTTTCTTAAATGGCAAACTGCAATTAGAGACCAGTTCCAAAGTGCTGCGGTTACAAGTGTGACCCACCACAGCTAAACCTGGCCCAAGATTTCTTTTAACTAAAAAAACTTTGGGAGGGAAACTCACAGAATAAAGGATTGTGTCCTAGTAATTTCAGGGACTTTGTTTACCCATAGATAGTCTCTTCAGAGCTTCACTCTGAGAATAACTCAAAATCACTACACATTCAAATTCTTAGAAGAGAATGTTGGTTATATAGTGGGCCTGAGGTTGGAGTAAGAAGGGGCATCTCTTATGACCACATGAAGCGGGGAAGGAGTAATTTTCCATAGGAAGAGTTAGGCTTCCCAAAAAAAGGGGAGAATAAAAGTTTTAGACAAACAGATATTTCCCTTAAGAACCAGTGCCCATGTCTTCTATGTCCAGTTTAAAGTTCCTGAGGCTTCATTTCTGCTCCCAATAGGAAGTGGCCTTTTAAATACTTGCCAGGGAGACTGCTTTAATCTGAATCTTCAGAGAAGCAGAGTTCAAGATGCAATTAAAAGTACAATGATTTTATTAGAGAAAATGCCTGTGTGAGAAGAAATGCTGGTGAGGAGACAAGGACAGTCTGGAAGAGCTACCGGACTGCAATACACATCTGACCATAGTGATGGGGGGAGGGAGAGAGCAGGGATGCTGAGCAGAAGCACCTGGGTGGCCATGCGTTCTAGAGGAGGTTCAAGAAGACCATCAGGGAATCCTGCAGCCCACATTTATCCCAAGAACAAGCCAGGAACCTGCCAATGAGTGGCAGGCCCACTCATTGGCTGGGAGCAGCCTTAGAGAGACATGTTACCAGTGCAAACACAGAGATGGATTTCAGAGGAAATGTGAGTAACTTTGGTCACTTACACTCTCTATAGTTTGAGTTCTATAAGGAGTATTACTACAGCAACCACAGGTGCTTTGGGATATTGATAGGTCTTCTGTCTTTAAAACTCTCAATGACTTATTACGTAATTGGTCTACAGTGAGGTCCAAATATGTACCAATGTCAGATGCTGATGGGACAAATTTGGATATACATTATTACAACAGACTTGACTCTGAGGGTCTCTGCCTCATCAGCTTGCTCCAAGTTCTGATCTAAAGTTTCCAGACTGGACTTAAATCCTGAAACAACATAGCCACGAATTCAATAATCATAACAATCACCAAAGTCAGGGTCTAAGAACAAACCTATGACATCTAAGAGCACCATATTCTACTCCAATTTCTCCAGTTCCTCAATTTGGTGACTAGAGCAAAGAAGCATCTGAAAACACAGACCTAAAGTCCATATATTTTCACCCGTAGAATGTTCGAGAAAATCAGACAAACTGACCTTGCTTGGGACATTCAACTCTCTAGGAGCATCTTCATAATATAATAGTAGAACATTATTATTATATAGAATTATACATATTAATATTACATACCCTTCTAAGCAGTTTAAGTTTATTTTTACTCATATAATTTTCACACTACTATGATGTACAGCTATTATAATCTCCATGTATATATGTGGAAACTCAAGCACAAAGAGGTGAAGAAACTTGCCCAAGATTCCACAGAGGTAAGTGCTAGAGTCCGATTTGAACCCAGCTGTCCTGTCTTAAGAATCATGCTCTTGGCCACTCTGCTATATATCTCCAACACTTCCTCTGGAAATGCTATTTTGTTAGTCATGTAGGATAATACAGTCTCAATGAAAACTGTGTAGATCATCAGCTCTGAGCATGTCATGGATTCCCCATCTTAGTCATAGAAAGAATAACATTAGGCTCACGTTTTGTGGATTCAGCCAAGTACCATAATTTCAGCAATATGATCATGCTGAAAAATAGAGCTCTTAAACTGTGGGTCAATTTCCATGATTGGGTCATGACCAGTAATTGTTTGTGTGTGTGGTGTGGAGTGTGTGTGTGTTTGTGTGTGCTGGATTCAGAAATAATTTCTCAACTGAAGTTTTCAGTTTAAAGAAAAACAGAACAAATGTTTAAAGCATTTGTTCAAGGAGCCACCAAATCCTTCCACTTTGAGGGGTTCACATGTTGGCCTATCTATGGGTCATTACAGAAACCATTGGCACTGGACAATCAACACGTTTGAAGCAGGGAAGCTGGGAGTTTCTTCTGACCCAGGCAGATTACAGTCAGTCCTGAGGCTGCCATTTAGCCTGTCTACAAGAAGGTAATATGGTAGGATAATTAACCCTTGGGAAATCCCAAGAGGATTAACATCATTGGTTATTTGATCAGCCACCTTATTCTCTACCAAGACAACTGAAAGAGCATTCATCCTCACTAAACTACTTGACACTGGAAAAGGCAGCTGAAAGTACCAAGGTTTCAGCTAGTTCCCACTCTTTCATTTAATATTCCTTTTTCTGCCTGCTTAGTGTGCTAGCCTGACATTTTTCTTTGTTCTTACGGGCATAAATCTAGCTTCCACCCACAGATCTCTTGCATGGCAAGAACGGTACAGACTCTAAACATTATTCTTCACCCACAGATGTCAAAAATGCATGAGCATGCAGTGCGTGCTGGAATGTGGGTGGTGAAGAAGGAATGAGCCAAGGCAGTCATAGAAATATCAGTTTCTTTGGTGCAATTATACATGGCCTCAATATGCCCAAGGAACCGTATCATAAGAGGTGCCTCTTAGTTCAGGCAAGCTGTCAGCTACATTTGACTGCACACCCCCTGTGGCCAGAGCTCCACGTGGGGTGTGGTGACAAGTATGGCCCTCACACTCTAGGAACTTGCAATTCAGTGAAGCGACAAGGCAAACAGGCATAATTTAAATAGAACACTTCATACTGCAAGAGAAAGAGAATGAAATTTCAAAAAATGTTCTAAGTACAAATTACACTTTATCCCAAATTCACAAGATAAAATGGTTTCAACTTATATAATACTTAATTATTTATATTCCTTTAAACTTCTTGACAGCTATGGATTTTGAGTAGTCAATTTTTACATATAATTTTTGTTTCAGTCCTTCTGTTTTAAGATGGTAAATGTTAACTTAACAAACAAATAACAATAAAAATAAATTTTTAATTTCTATTTTCCTTGGAAGGAAAGAACATGGACACTAGTGGAAAAACAGCCAAGCAGAAGTTCCTCTAGAAAAGGCACATAATAAAACCAGCTGCTGAACTTTAGGGATGAAAATGAAGGAGTCTTCTTTGATTTTTCCTCAGTTCTTCTAGCCAAAGCCTCAACTGCAATTTTTATCTCTTCAGTCACTGATAAATACTATAAAATCTGAAGTCCTGTGCAGTTATGATCATTTTAACTATGTGTGATAGAAAAATAACACTATCACCCAAAGTTATAATATCTGAAATTTGAAGAATGCTTTTGCATAGATTCACATTCCACAAGAATTTTATGCAGTAGGTTATACAGGCTATAACCTATGCTTTAAAACTTGCTCAAGTTTTCTTGGCCAGTTCTGAAGATCTAAAACTGATACTCAGGCTTTGTGGGTCTAAATTTAATCATCTTTCCAGGAGGAGTGGATGAACTTATAGTTTATTGTTGTAATTGTATGTATCCTATTATTCAACAATGACTGGTTTTCACAGATCTCCAGAAAGGCATACTATTTGAATTTGCAAAAAAATCTTATATGAAGACTTAATACCAGAGTCTGATTCTGGATTTGTGATTTTCCTACAGGTAGCACTCTACAACCAGATGCGTCACCTTCTAAAACTGGTACATTACACTCAATGCCAGTTACTATTCCAGAAGGCACTTTACAGTCTCAAGGTAGGATATCTGTGTGCCTAGGTGGAAATCTGCTCTATTTGACCCTTTCTCACCAAGGAAACCCTACCAATCTTGACTCAAAAAACAAAGCTCCTTCAAAATGAGACTGGATCTTTTGCACTTGCAAATCATGGCTGCTTCCTTAAATGAGGGTGGAGGGAGGACTGCAGAGATTGGCACAAAAGTGACTGTATTTTACTCTTAAAATAATAGGCACTGAGAATGGAAAAAACGCAAGTGCTTCAGCAACCAGCCCTTCTTATTCCAGTGAGTAACAACAATGTCTTCATTCATGGCAGTAGATAGGCAGAATGTTTTAATGTGACTGGTAAAGGGGAGAAATTAGATTATGGGAAGCCTTTACTCAACTTTACTGAGCTGGCAATTCCATTACAATCCTATCTAACTGCTGCCTGCTCTGAAAATTTCCCAGAAGTGAGTCTGGTCTTAATGGCCAAACAGACAAACAAAAAAAAGGTGGGTGGGATGAAGCACACTTTGGCAAATTTTTTCTTAGCTTAGTATTTAGCAATTACCATCAAGGGCCAAGGATGATTTAATGGGACTATTTCAGATAAGCCAAAGTGCATAGGTAGAGTTCCCCATAAAAGTGAATTATTCCCAAGTTATCAGGCTGTATACCTTGAATATATTTCATTTTTGTCAAGTAAATAATTAAAATTATAAAGTAAATTATACCAAAAAGTGAACTGTTTGCTTTCATAGAACTTTATCTTAACATTAAAAATGGCCAGTAAGAAATGTTCCATTTTAACTAAAACATATATAGGTCATACAACATTTATGTGTGTGCTAAGACTGAATACAGAATATTAAATAATTTTCTTAGTAATTAAGAATAAAGAGAATAGATTCAAAACTGTTAGTATAAAAGTCTCTCTTAAGTTTGGGTAAGCCCATTCATTAAATAAGTCATCACAGAAATTACTGACCTGCTGATTTATGGCATCTTCATTTTGAAAGGCGATGATGATTTCACCTAAGAGCTATTAGGAAATCAGCAGAACTTACTTAAAACAAATATTTGTCTTTGACAATGGAAGTGTAAACCATCTTACAGATGAATTTGGAGAATAATTCTTACCCCGATAAATATATAAGGAGTATGTATGTAAGCAAATATGTTAAACTAATATCATCTTAATTTCCTTTAGTCGTATGTCTATGACAGCTCTCTTGATTTTATCACTGTACTTTTAACCTTGGAAATGACCATCAGAAAAGAGGAACGGAAGGAGGGAGGGAGGGAGGGAAGAAGGAAAGAAGGAGGGAGGAAGGAAGGAGGGAGGGAGGGAGGAAGGAAGGAGGGAGGGAGGCAGGGAGGAAGGAAGGGAAGAGGGGGAGGAAATATAATAGAAATTCTATTCCTCTTAATAGAAATATAAAAGACTCACCTAAGTTACTGCAGCAGCACCACTCCCCCAAACAGACACACATACACACATCTCTCTTGAATCATGTTTATTTTTAAGAATCATCTTCACTGTGATATCTGCTTATTTTATGCCTTTTCTAGTTTTAAGATATTATTATAGAAAGACATTTGTGTTTTAGAACGCCAGCGTTAGGACTAGAGCAATCCCAATTGGGTTATATATATTTTCCCAGTAACTTCATTATAAAGTACTAAAAAATGTAATGAGTGAATGTGGGTTTAATTATAATCTAGAGTACATCTTCTGCTTCTCCAGTCTTTCATCTCCCCACTTCTTCAGTCTCCAGGAAGATGGGAGCACTCTCTCTTAAGGATGGAATTTTGTTTCAGAAGGGTAACAAGACTGACATCAAGTGGTTACGTCAAAAATGACAACTAGAACAAAACCCTGAATCAGATCAATCTTTGCCTAAAATACAGTGTTTTTAATAGAATGATGTTTAAAGAAGAAAGGAAGCACTCATGCTTTTGCTCACTTACTCAACTATCTCTGTGAAATTCAGTAGCCACTCTAATTGACAATGTCTCCAATTCTTTTTAGGTATTATTTTGCCAGTGGTTATTGCTCTGATTGTAATAACACTTTCAGTATTTGTTTTGGTGGGTTTGTACCGAGTGTGCTGGAAGTCAGACCCAGGTAGGTAACAGTGTTTTGTTTTGTTTTCCTGAAAGAAGAAAGAATATATGCTTAGCTTAAACTTGATTTTAAATTCTTAAAGGGAGAGAAGAGTTATAGAAAGGAATGAAATGTCGTTATTTCCTGATCACAGAAATGAAGGATGAAGGACACAGACACCCACTGAACGCTAGTGAATTGCAGAGTGCGGATTAACTGCTATTAGTAGATATTATCAAATGTGGGCAAATTATTTTTAATAAAGTAGCCCAAATTTTGTGGGTGGTCAGGGGAATATGGTAATAAAGAGGGCATAAAAATGACATAGTTTGTCTATGGTAAAGATTAATTCCATTTCTATGTAACAGAGAATAAAAAGAGGGATTGCTAAGAATTCAGCACAGGGACCTATAATCTTAAAAGTTCTATAACTAATTTTCCTCCTTGGAGACACACCCAATGAAAGTATCTTCCATGACCATGTTATATTTTTTATTCTTTTTAAAAATATACTTTCTATTTTAGAATAGATTTAAAGTTACAGGAAAGTTGCAAAGACAGTACAGGGAGTCACCACACCTAGTTTCCCTTATTCCTTTATTAGGATCAGATGGTATGTTTGTCACAATGAATGAACTAATACTGATAAATTACTGTTAACTAAATTCTGATTTCTTTTAGTCTTTATTCAGACATTTTTCTGTTCCAGGAACTTTGGCTTTTCTGTAGTCAACCTTCACCTAAATACCCCTGCAGCTCCCACAGCTCAGCCATCACATTTCCTTAATTCCAAATTACCTTTCTATTTCACAACCCGGCCCTGGTCGTGTAATGTAGTATCATTATTCGTGCCCTCAACTATACTATTCCTTCTGAAACATCCAGCACACCTCTTACCTTTCATAACACACCTAATCTCCAACTTACCCATCAGGACTCAACTCAAACACAAATTTACTGTATCTTTTATAACACGCCACTTCTTCAAGCAGAATGAATTGTCCCTTTAATTGTAATACTACCAATTTGGATTATGTTATTTATCATACCATAGTATAGATACTTACTTCTCCATGTGCCTACCCTCCACTGAAAGTCAGGCAACCTCTCCAAGTCAAAGTCACATATTGTTCATATTGCAGACCCTTACTACATGCATATTGAGTTACATTTTAAAATCTACAGTAAATACAATTATCTTTTGTCACTTTAATTTTAAATATGTTCACTAAAAAAACTCTACCTAAGTCTCATAAACTGTTAAAAGATAAAAAGCAATTATTTTTATATGTTATATAAGCTGTATTATTCTTTGTTTACCTCATGGACAATGTGCCCCCAGGACACTAATGAATGCTATCCTTAAAGCCACCTACTGACCACACATTGCAGGAACAGTTGTAATATGATCGTGACAATACTAAGAGAAGCTAGGAGACCAAAGCAGGAGAGTTCATTTTAGATCTTGATGAAAAGTAAAAACAAATCAATGCCTTTTCCTTTGCAGTGAATAAACTTCTTACTGTCTGAACTATGCCTCCTTGTTCAGTTTTCAAAAGGGAAACAGCATTTTTATAAATCAGTTTAATTTCTTCAAGTTTCTGGGCTACCAATCCTGTCTTTTACAGAAATCAGCTATCCAAATTGAAGCCTGTTGCATATATAGAATAGGTAAAAAAGTTAATGTGCTAAATTTATTTGTAAAAATATGCTATACTAAAAATTTACTTTGCATGGGGAGATTTAAGAATACATTATTTGAAAAGTTGACATTTTCTACTTAAGAGGCCTCTATGGATGTGTAAAATTCCTACCACTATGGATAGTTATTCTGAAGACATGAGTATTTTAAAGTCAAGTTTGGCAATTGTACAATTAGCCAAATCTTTTGGATGATTGTTAACTATGTTTCTCAGACAGAATTTATAGCACTGTTATCATTAAATTAGCACCATTAAATACCTGCAGTTAATCACTCTTCAAGCATGTGAGTGAGACTATCTAGTTCGGGAAATTAGTAAACCCATTCTGCTCTTTGGAAGACAACATGAATCAGAGATTTCAGTATAAAATTAAGCTTATTTGCACAAGGTTGGCAGTGGACTGAGCTTTAACCAAATAAGAATGGTATGTATGCAGAAAGTAGTCTGTTGGCTTGCATCTATCTGCTAATGAGACTATCGCTATAGTTTCTTAGGGAAAAAAATATTAAAACAGGCATACAAAAATGTGAATACACTTTGCTGGAGAGGATGTGAAGAAAAGGGAAACCTTGTACATAGTGGGTGGAAATGTAAATTAATAGAACCACTATTGAGAGAAGCCTGGAGGTTCCCCAAAAAAACTGAAAATAAAGCTACGATATGATCCAGCAATCCCACTGCTGGATTAGGTGGATAGGTGTATACACCTAACAAAGGAAATCACTATATCAAACGAATACCTGCATCCCCATGTTTCTTGCAGCACTGTTCACAATAGCTAAGATTTGGAAGTGTCTACCAACAGATGAATAGATAAAGAAAATGTGGTACTTACATACAGTGATGTACCATTCAGCCATGAAAAATAATGAGATCCTGTCATTTGCAACAACATGGATGGAACTGGACGTCATTACGTTAAGTGAAATAAGTCAGGCACAGAAAGACAAATTTTGCATGTTCTTATTCCTGAAAGCTAAAAAATCAAAACAAGTGAACTCATAGAGCTAGAGCTAGACAGTAAGAGGATGACTACCGGAAGTTGGGAAGGGTAATGGAGGGGAAATGGAGATGGTTAATGGGTACAAAAATATATAAAGTATGGATAAAACCTAGTATTTGATAGCATAACAGGGTGACTAGAGTTGATAATAAACTTATTGGTACATTTTGAAATAATGAATATAACTGGACTGTTTGTAACACAAAGGATGCTTCAGGGGATGAATACACCATTTCCATGATGTGATTACTACACATTGCATGCCTCTATCAAAATCTCTCTTATATCCCATAAATATCTACACCTACTATGTAACCACAAATATTATAATTTTTTAAAAAATCAACACATTTTAAAACAGGGCTATTAGCATCACAGGTGATATTGTATATGACACATAATCACAAAATGCTGTGATGGAGCAAAGATGAGGTTAGGTCTAATTGATGAGCAGCATATGGTGCCATGGGTTTGATCCTAGGGATCAAAGTTACGACAAGATGTCTTAGCCAAGACGACAGAAATAGAAGCAGCCAAAATATTAGTGGAGGTTAAGGTCTTTATAAAACAAGGATAGCCAAAGCCAGGAGAATTATATTCAAAGGGCATATTCAATGACAAGATTTAGATTCGAGATGAGAGGAAATCTAAGAAACGTAAGCTAAGTAGCTATGGAATAAAACCAGAGCAAAGGGGACCTTATGCAATCACATTAAACGGTCGGCCTGATTGGCCACAAATTAATGCAAGATTTGATCACCAACATTCACTCTAGAGAGGCCATGTCCTTATGCAGAATGAATCATTCTGAGTTCCCACTCTAAACCCCAGGTGTTTTCTATCAGACAGTTTTGAAGCAGCCTGGCAAAGAGTAGAAAAGATAAGTTGCAGTTAGTAGCCTCTGTGACATTTTGCAGGGCTCTTTTGAGAGGCTGAATCAGTGAGTTTAAGATGCAATTAGAAATAGTATCGACATTGTAACTCACCACAAACACAGTGATTTGTGTCCCAGGAAAGAACAATGTATAAAGGAAAGTCAAAAATTCAATTATCTGGTATAAAAACTTCAAACTTTTAATAGAATTTTTTCAGAGATACTGAAGTAAACAGACATTTTCTGTTGTCCATGAGATTGTGCAATAATGAACAGCAATTCCACATAGTGATATGAAACTACAAGATCAAGATTAGTCCAGAACTAAGTTTAGTGGAGTTGACCTAATTAGGATTATCCCATGAATGCCGGCATAAATATTAACCATACCTGAGGAAATGGCTTGCCAGGGGGGAAATTTAAGGATGTTAAAATGGCTTAGAAACATCTCTGCATAGAAAAGAGTGGGCAGCAGGTGAGGGAGTTGGGGGGCTCAGATTTTTGGTAGCCAACTTCTTTGCAACTCTAATACTGACTTTCTTTTCTCCTAGGCACAGCAGAAAATGGAAATGATCAGTAAGTAAGCCCATAGCATCTTTTTCCCAGACCCTACCATTTCCATAGTGAAAATTATTGTTACTCTACTCATACTTTTTTGGATTATTTTCTAAAGTGTAGAAGCACTACATACTGACTTTTGGCTTTTTGTCAGAGCTCTCCACATTTAACAGAGAAATTCCAAATGTATGATCATGCTTAATCTTAATGTGGTAAATTGGGAAATAAAAATACGAAATGGAAAAGTAGAAGAATGAATATAATTATGAGGGAAAATAACATAGAAAAAACACCTAGAATTTTGAAATCGTTTTCTCAGTGAAATGTTTAATATGTTTATCACAGGGAAAATTGTGCCTCTGCCTTGAGCCGGTTCTTAGTGCCTTTAAAGTAGATGGTGATTCTACTTTGACTTGATTAATGAACAAAGCAGATTTTAGCCATCCAGGCAACTCTAACAGCCAACGTGCTGCAAAGAGTCATGATGAATTGTTTTTCATGTCAAAACAAATTCTGTTTTCCTTGTTGACATGAATTTGTGGTCTACTTCTATATACGCATTTTTATGTTTCATAAGGTTGTAAACTTTAAAATAATAATGCTACATTACAACTTATATGACTTAGAAATAGAGACTCCTGAGATGTCCAAAGGAAGGAATTAGGGTTTGAAACTCTTTCAGGTAGAAGAGAACTCTGATTAAAATAGGCAGTTCAGATATGGTGCTACAGTATCTTAGGACTTCATGAAAAGGAATATCTCTAGAATTCAGTATAAGCCCAAAATGTTTGGAAACATTTCTATGTCTTTCTCTCTATAATTCAGAATTGGAGACATGTCCAATATGGACCTTGTGACAAGCGTTTCGCACAACTTATACTAATTTTTAATTTATCTGACAATCACCACTATAAAAGAGTGACAGGGATTTATTGGCTTGATTCCAGAAAAAGTAAAAATTGCTAAAAAGTATATGTGTATTTGTATATAAAAAGACAAAGTTTTTCATAGAAACATATATGTGTGTGTATATATATGTGCGTGTGTGTGTGTGTGTGTGTGTTCATGTGTATCTTCATCATTCTGTGTCACAGTACTTTCAATGTGTCACAATGTGCCACAGTACTTTCATTGTGTCACAGTGCTTTCGAACTTACAATGCTGATTACTGTGGTGCTAATTTAACATTTTCTGTTTCAAATAGACCTCAGTCTGATAAAGAGAGTGTGAAGCTTCTCACTGTTAAGACTATTTCTCATGAATCTGGTAAGTTTCCAGGCAGTTGATTATATGAAAATTTGTTATTTTAGAATCTAACTATAACCTTGGATTTTGTTCATGTGAAACATAACCAAAAAGCCTAACTTCTTTAGAAATAGTCAATTATTGTCAATAAATGTAAAATTCTCCCATGAAGGAAAGAAAAGTCTTACCATTTTGATAAGATTATTGGACTATGTGGCCTTTAGAGGTTGCTTTCCGTAGATGTGTGGATGTATAGAGGGCTAGAGGCATTTCCTATTCTGCAGGAGTGGCAGAAAGAACACAAAATTTGTTAAAAAGCTTTTAAGTTATGGCTGTTGTTTTGTTTCTTTTTTGGTAATGGCTATGTAGTCACATATGGTCAAAAGGGCAAAAAATTTGGTCATCAGTTAAAATGTAAATCATGTTTTATATCATTTATATAAATATAATTCAGCTTCTCCAAAAGGTAAAATATAATATTCTATTGATGTAATGTGATTTTTCCCTAGTTTCTTAGGTATATTCATTTGACTGAAATTATAAAAGTCTCTCAAAATACAGATAGGATTTGTATCAAGAACAATGAAAAATGTGATACTAGATAGCTTTTCAAAATTAAAAAGCACAGATTTTTCTTTGTTTTGAGTAGATTAGACAAACCATTTATATCAAAAAGCAAATCAATTAAAAGCAATTATTAATTTTATAAAATAATCTGGCTGAGCACAGTGACTCACACCTATAATCCCAGCATTTTGGGAGGCCAAGGCGGGCAATTGCCTGAGGTCAGGAGTTTGAGACCAGCCTGGCCAAAATGTTGAAACCCTGTCTCTACTTAAAAATACAAAAATTAGCTAGGTATGATGGCATGTGCCTGTAATCTCAGCTACCCAGGATGCTGAGGCTGGAGAAACTCTGGAACCTGGGAAGCGGAGGCTGCAGTGAGCTGAGATTACTCCACTGCACTCCAACCTGGTTGACAGAACAAGACTCAATCTAAAAAAAAAAAAAAAAAAAAAATCCATGTGGCTCTAATTTAAATATCATGTTAGATTAATATATTTACAATATTCAATTCCTCAATTGAATATTGGGGATAAGCTATATTATAAAATTTTTGGTGGCTCAAAATAATTTTATAAAACAGAAAGCTATAAATGTTGTCTCAAGTCAAGAGCACGCTATCACAAGCTAAATGTGGTCTCAATTTCATGCAGAAATTTAAACTAGAACAAATGACAACAGGCAGACAGAAGAGTTGAAGAGCAAGAACATCTGAAGCCTGCACAAGAATGCTGAAACCCCTCACATGAGCTCTCTTCTTTTAGGAGAGATCTCCTTTGCTCTTGTATCTCTTCCACTCTTGAATACAAACATTTCCTTTATTTCCATACTATCCTTTCTCTCAGGAGGAACCATCTGAAAGGAGCAAAGGAGTAAAATTTGCCCATAGAGTAGTTAAAAGATACGCACAATTTTCTCCTGTGAGAAACCAGTCTTAAATAAGTAGCCAGGACGATTCTACCAGGTCAGGGAAAATGGCAAAAAAATTGGTCAAGCACGCTAAATGTGAACAGTCCTGAGTAAGCACATGAGAGACCCTAAGCATGACTATACCATTTATTAAGAAAAATCCTTAGAACCTGCCTATGGCTTGCAAAGCAGGCATCACACATACTCAAAGCACTCTGCAGTCTCCTTGGCTCTCCAATTGGTGAATTAGGGTGCTAAATACATTTGGAAGTGCTCTGTGTAGAAGCTCCTGGTTCTCCTTATGAGGAGGGCACTGGGATCAGGACCACCTGTAGTTTTCTACCACCCATTTCTACCAAAGAAATGGAAAAACTGACCCTAGAATCAAGACTTCCAGCAGGGAGACCCCCCCAGAGAACCTTGTGTTTCTTGGTTGCAAATTTAATAGCAACTCTTCTTTAGAGCCTAGGGAAAAATTCCATGTAGGCTGTCTCCCACTGTTGCAGTGACCATAGCAGTAAGTGCAATAGACCATGGCAGCCTTGTTAAATAGACCCTTAGCCCATCTGTCTTTCTTTTCTTCAAAAATAACTTGTCAGGTCACAGGTCTAAGGGGGAGATATTATCATGAAAATAATAAGATATAATCTCGGGTACTTTTATTTCTGCCAACTTCTATTTAGAAATTATATTACTTTTAGCATAATAACCTCTCAAAGGTCAACCCAGATGATTACCATGAAAAATATTTGGTGATAGGGCAATACTGAAATTGATGATTCAGAGTAGACTTCAGTAGTCCAGAATTTATCACCTAAAATACAATGTCATCCAAATGCTCCTTGTACTACCACAGTTTTTATTAAAGTCTATCATTAACAGAACTTGGTGGCTCCCCAAACATTAGCAAACAAATCTCTTCCCACTGCCTTTCAAGATTTATTCAAATATCTGTTTTTATAATAACATGCTCATTATACTCAAGAGAAGTTATGTTGCTAACATTATTTTTATGTAACTTCTCTTGCCAAATGCTGACATCTTTCCTAAAGAAATAAGTAGAAATAAAAACTTAAATGATTAGATTTGATATAAGTTCACAAGCTTAGCTCAATTTTTCTACTGTTGCCAATATAATAATTTTTAGAAATTTTAAAATACAAAAAAAATTGATAGAACAAATCTGACCACTGACCACTCAGAACTGATGACTGTTACAATTTACTTTATTTGTTTCAAGACCTAAGAAATACATTGTTCATTATGAACATAGATGGGTAACACAATGAAATTTGAGCTTCAGTGGTCACAAAAAAAATCTTCGAATTTGTCATTACTTCAGTGTAGAACCCCTGGATGTTTTGCCATGCTGCAAACAGTGTTTGCAAACACTGTTGACCAATAAACAGTGTTTCCAAGGAAACAGCCCTCTGCAGCAACCCACCTTCAGGGAAAATGCCAGTGGATGCGAAATCATCTGGTTTTCTAGAAGCCTCAGTGAGCCACAGTTAAAATTCTGGGCATTTTCTCCTGGGAAGAGAGTTCTCTGACCCCAAATCCCTCTTTTCCAATTAGGTCATGGAATACATAATGCGGTTGATGTTCATCCATCCACATTCCCTGCTTCCTTTAAATATGTGCTTTGTTGAACAAGATCTTCTGCTGAAATTGTAACTCATACATGTTTAAATTTGGAACTCTCTTAAATGTAGAAGAGAAAGCTCACTCGGGTACAAGAAGAAGATGCTTTCAGGAAAAAAAAAAGAGCATCAAATGTGGCAGATCAAGGAGTCCTTTATAAGAATATACAAGCTCCTCCTAGGTTTTAGTAAGTGATCTTGTCAGGTTAAACTTCAACATGATTGACTAAAAAATGTACGTGTGGCATGCATTTTAAACGTGATTCTTATTTATATCATCTCAGAAAGTTAATATGCATCATTTCACTTTTAATATGTCAGGTTATATAAATTTTGAAATTAGAATTGTTACTCTATGGAAGAAGAAAAAATTGAATCACTAAACTTAGCTTCAAAGCATCAGTTGATTTTGAATCATTTAGAGTAGGAAAAATCAGATCTGAATTCATTAGAATATTCCTCTGCTTAGAAGATGCTGATAAGGAATAACCGAAGATTAAGTTCAAACACCTTAGCATGTGTGCAACACCTTCCATACTGTGCTAGCTTTCTCTAGCTCAGTTTTGAAAGCACTTGATATGAAGTAATAATGCATATTTCCCAGACTTTATTCATTCCCTTTCCTGTCTCCTGTCTTTCTCTCTCTGAACCCAGCATTATTGAAGGAAGACACAGTCTCCTGCTCTACTTTGTCACGTATACTTCCCATTCTTATGGTAATTACATATTAATATGTCATTAGCATACTAATTAGTATGCTAATATCAATTACTCATTAAGTGCATGGTCATTTATTTTGCTTATTTATTTTTACAAATAAAAGTTTATTGACAACAAAAAACGAACCAAAATGTAAAAATGAACAAAACATTCATAGATTTATAAAGCCATATGTAGAGTCATATTCTGTCCTCAGCCCGTCAATATTTGTCTCATTCTCTGTGTTTCCACCAAAGTTTCCCTGACTGTTTCAACTGTAAGTGGTCTTTCCCTCAGCTCAACATGTTCATAATTTGGCAAATTAACAGATATTAGTGCCTGATAATATTCTTCATGGCTGAAACTACCATTTTAATATTTGATCACATTATGCATAATGAAAAATAGAAAAGAAAAGAATTTAAAACTACCCATGAAGCAACCTTCATACAACCACTATTGGCATTTGATATATTTCTTTCTGGATTTTTTCCCACTGGATATGTGTGTGTTTTGTTTGCCTTTACTGTAAATATCATTATTCTTGTTACTGATATCATAGCATTATTAAATCTTTCAGAAAATTTCTAGTATGTCAATTAGACGGACCTTGAGGAGGAATAGTAGGAATTGTAAAGATTTTCAATGACTTGTTTTACATGACTTCTGGCAGATTCTAGAGGAAGAATCAATATTGATTTTATTTAATTCTCATTCTGATACTTCATAGCCATGAGTTCCAAGCAGGTGCTGTGTCTTTTGCAAAATGAACAATAGTTATCAAAGGATTACCTTGGAACAGGAGCTGAGGGTACTGCAGCACTACACCTGACATCTCTCAGAGCATAGACCCAAAGGAGCTCTTGAAGAGGAGTCCCAGACTGGTTCTTCTCAGGGGTCTGTGGCACTATTTATTATTGCCATGATGGTACAAGTAACAGGTGACATCCTCAGAGTCCCCAGAGAACAGATTTCCTAACAACTGCAGATAAAAAACTTGGAGCAAAATGATGAGATTTGTTCTAAAAGCTGGAGATTTTAATTTATATTTCTTTTATATTGTGAGACTGATGTTGATACTCGATTCTACCTGAAGGTGTCCAGAATGCAAAATACATTGGCCATGAATCCAGTGGCATGTAAAAAACTACTTGGGGCCTCTCGGCTTGCCATCTTTTTAGATTAATATTTCTCTGTATATTAAATGGTGGAATAATGCTTGGATTTTGAGTAATGGCACCTGTGGTGCTCTGTACCTCACCCAAGTGTTCATATTGGCCTATAAATTCATTTTCACAAAACCCTCACTGAATTATTTAAACAGAAGGATGCTAGAATCTCTTCCTGATAAAATGGCACTTTAAATATATGATATGGACTTGCTTAGGCAGAGCCAGCTCACGTAACAAGCAAAAATCAATACTTATTCCCCAGGGTTTCTCGGATGTTATCATCTCCCAGCTTACATCTCTGGCCCCCACTCCCCTCTGACCTGCCCAAAAGGACTTCATATTGCTACTTTGGAGTGAAAACAGATGATGGCTGGGAAGATCTCTTATATTTTGGTGACTGATTTCCAGACAATACAAAGAGGCAAACTGTGGCTCTAATGATATTCTTGCAGGGAAATAAAACTGTCCTTGAAAAACAGAAAACAAGCTAGGAAACTTTATTTTCATCCTTACTCCGTCTCTGAGCTTATAGATCAAAACATATCTTCTGTTCTCAGGTGAGCACTCTGCACAAGGAAAAACCAAGAACTGACAGCTTGAGGAAACCTCCCCACACCTAGGCAATAATTATGTAAGTTTCCCAATTTCATTTACAGAGACATTCATTAATATCTGTTTAATTACCCTGCTGCAGCTTACATTATTTTTAAAGAATTTCAAAAGCTGAAAAGTTAATGTCTTGTGTCAGTGCAACCATCATTGTCTATTTGTCTAAAAACAAACTCTAAAAAAAAAATTGCCAAAAAAATGAATGACTTGGTACTTGTAGCCAATTTGTCCAATTGTCTTGCCTATTGAAGGAATGATACACTTTGCTCTGCCTGTTGATAATGTTTCCTTGTAAACTCAGTCAGCCTACCTAGGTCAATAAGCACACACTAACTGGAAATCAGACAGGCTTTTGTTGCTAACAAAGACTCGCAGGTTCCAAGTGACGATGCTTGCAAATTTGCAGTTTATTGCAGGAAAATGATAAAATCTAGAAACTTTATTAAAGTAAAGACGTGTATCACAGCCATAGGCTGGCTCAGGGAAATGGGTTCAGAGATGCTAGGTGAAGGGTCCAACTGCCCTCTCTCTATAAGGACCTTACCAGAATTCATTTTCTCTCTGGGTCCAGAAACCAGGTGTGGAAAAACACCTCCAACAAGATGGCCTAGAATTCAGTCTCAGCCAGGTTACCTTTAACTCAGCTGGTCATGTAGACATACTCCTTGCCGTGTAACCAGCCAAGCAGCAGATCCTTCCAGATATCTTGACAAAATTATTAATACAAATGATTAATCTTAGTACAATAATTCTGAATCAATAAAAATGGAAATTTCTCAAAAGCATGTTCCATGTCATGACCAAGAGTCAGCTCAAGGCAGGTACATTTCTTATTTTAGTAAAACAGCTCAGGCCAATGTTAAACCTGCTTTGGAATTAACTGTCCCAGTTGGTATGGAATTGCCTTTTACTTTCCTAGCAGTGAGTAAGGAAATGCTCCTCTGACTTTCATTTAATTGTTACAAGAAGTATAGGTTAAGTGTTTTCACAATTAGTTTCTGATGCTTTATAGAACATACAGAAGAATCTACCCTTTGGTAGGTAACAATAAAAAATAAAATAAATAAATAAATACATGCCCAGAATTGGCCGGCCCACAATGGTAGTCATTTTAGGTAAAGTGTCTACGGCGAGAAATCTTGTTGTATTCATGGCCTGTGTCTACTGTCTAACTACTAACATTGTGCTGCAGACACTTAGCAATTTCTTGCTGAATAAATGGTACCGGCTGTGCTTGTCTGGCCAGTAGCAGAAGACAGAGACAGAGGAGTGCCATTCAAACACATGTCAGTATCAGAATTTTATCCCTCTCTAGCCAGAAATTAGGGATGGATTAGGAATCATGGAGTTTGTGCACCTCCAGCATGCTGCAGTGCCCTATGGAAAAGAGGCAAGACTGCCTTCCCCTGTCAACAGAGTAAACAGATGACTTACAGAACTAGAGAAAATATTCACAAACTATGCATCTGACAAAGGTATAATACCCAGAATCTGCAAGGAACTTAAACAAATCATTGAGCAAAAACCAAACAATCCCATTAAAAAATGGGCAAAGGACATGAACACACACTTCGCAAAAGAAAACATACACAGGGCCAACAAGCATATGCAAAAATGCCCACTATCACTAATCATTTGGGAAATGCAAATCAAAACCACAGTGAGATGCTATCTCATATCATTCAGAATGCAATAAGTAAAATGTCAAGAAGTCACAGTTGCTGGCCAGGTTATAGAGAAAAGGGAATGCTCATACACTGCTGGTGGGAATGTAAATTACTTCAATCACTATGGAAGCAGTCTGGAGATTTCTCAAAGAACTTAAAATAGAACTACCATTCAACGCAGCAGTCACATTACTAGATATAGGCCAAAGGAATACAAATTGTTATACTATAAAATCACATGCACATGTATGTTCATCACAGCACTATTCACAATAAGAAAGATGTGGAATGAACCTAGATGCCCATCAACCATGGACTAAATAAAGAAAATATGATACACATACACCGTGGAATACTATGCAGCCATATAAGAGAGCCAGATTATTTTCTTTGCAACAATATGGATGAACCTGGAGTCCATTATTCTAAGTGAAGTAACTGAAGAACAGAAAACCAAATACTGTATCTTCTTATTTATAAGTGAGTGTCAAGCACTGAATGCACACAGGCACAAAGAAGGGAACAGTAGACACCAGGGCCTACTTAAGGGGGAGAGGGGGATGAGAGTGGGTATTGAAAAACTGCCAATTTGGTGTTATGCTAATTACCTGGGTGACAGAATTGTCTGTACATCAGACCACTATGACATGTAATTACCCATGTAACCAATCTGCAGATGTACCCCTTGGAACTAAAATGGTTGAAAGAAAAAAAAAATGGAATCTGGAAGTTTGCTGATTCAATGCAATGGACACTTTCAGAAGCTGTCCAGCCCTAGCTGATACATGAAAAACTTCCTTCCATATCTGCTATGGTTGCTTTGCAACCCAGTGGCTAGTAAAGGATTGTTTTCTAAATTACCAAAATGCTCAAATATTAGTAACTAACTGTCCAACTTGGAGAAAGCAAGTCTGCAGTTGGAAAAAAAGAAAGAAAGAAAAGGTGTATAGAAGGCAAGAAACAGTGTCAACCTTCAAACCACTTAATAAAAGTAATTTTTGTTCAACTCCCATTTCTTTCCATTTTTGTACTATAAAAATTATTCGTAGCCTCAGATTTCAAGGCTTTTGATTTGAAGAGCGAAACAAATTTTGTTGCTCCTCTTTGTAATTGTGGAATTATATAACAATATTCTAAAGAGTAAAGATCAGAAAGTATGGGAAAAAACAAGTTTGACATCTGTCAATTCTACTGTCTGTCTCACTTTTTTCTTTAACATATTTCTATCACTGTACTTTGAATTTAATAACCAATGAGTGACTATTGTCCAGGTTGTCAACTGGAAATTAGATATCAACTTGGAGATTCAGAATAAATAGAAACAAATTCATCAAACCTAGAAGATTTAGGGAAAGAAGTTAAAAAGTCTTGAACTCTGATGCAATAGCAAACAGTAATACAGAAATAATGACTTATGTTAAAAATTTCCATCTCAAAACAAGATTCTAGATATATTTAATGCTTGTTGCTTCATACATTGATCATCAATTTTCTCCACAGCACTATGTTTAATGTGATTCGGCAGGGCGGACAGGAACTGTGACACATTTATGAGCTATGAACCTTGCCTTCTGCAAAGCTTAACTCGTGGGAGCATGAAATCATATACAAGAGTGGCAGCAAACATGTAGAAACAACTTAAATGTTTAATGATATGGAAATTATAAAATAAATTATACTCTGCCCAATGACATTAAATGATGAGTACAAATAATTTTCAAAATAATTTTTAATAACATGAAAACATGTCTAAGATGTAAAATTAAATGGGAAAAATAAGAATTTTAGAATTGAACAGATAGCCATTTAACTGTTCTGTGACCAACTCTGTGCCGTTGTCAAGGAGGAATCTGCTGCTACCTGCTTGCTCCCTCACCAGCAGGTCTCATCTTCTTTCTGTTCCAAGACACCTTGGAAGGCTGAAGAGTGGAGGGAGTTTCAGACAAGTGAAGAACTGTAGTGTTAGAAAGTTCTGTAGCTTTTATGACAGTTTGTTCCCACAGACCTTCAGCAATGGTGATTGTTAGCCATTTCTGTTTTTCTCCAAGGTACAATTCCCTGATATTTCTGTAATTTTCTAAATGTACCCTGATAATCTAAGTGTATCTTTGTGAACTTCCAGAAGAGCTTAACATGTTTACCAATTATTTTTCTTTCATTTTAAAATGAAATAGCACAAGCTAAAAGGAAAACATCATTAAAAAAGGAAATTTCCATTTGTCTCTCTGTATCCATGGAGGAGGAAGATTGATTTAAAGCCCTGGAGATACCAAAATCTGTGGTTGCTCAAGTCCCTGATATAAATAAAATTATACAGTATTTGCATATAGCCTGCACAAAGTCTCTCATGTAGTACTTCAGATCATCTCTAGATTACCTGTAATACCTAATACAATGTAAACGTTGTATAACTAGTTGTGATACTATGTTTTTATTTGTATTTTTAAAAATCTATTGTTAATTTTTACTGGTTTCGAATATTTTTAATTCACCATTGGTTGAATTTGTGGACATAGAACCCGCAGATACAGAAGGCCAATTGTATATCATGATTGTACTCTGTAACCCTGAATGAATTTCTTAATAGTGCTCTGCATGGGGTTCCACATCTATAAAATCAAGACAAAATGATCTTTTCTTTTATGGCCATTCTGATTCTTTGTTTATAAATTGTTATCAGTAGTGTTAAAGAAACCTATAATGAACTATTACTACAAAATAGTCAATTATTCATTATAAAAATCAAAAATATATTATATTTTAGGTTGTGAGAGATTCAGGATTCAGTGACTATTCAGTCCTTTATTATTATTATTACTGAAGCCAACACACTAATTTTAGAAGGATTATAATGTGAAAAAAAGTAAAGACTGATATTGGAATAGACATAAAGAAATCACTAATGAAGTAAGATTTATTTTTTGAGAAAGATTGTCAACATGAAGTGCATGCTTATGAAATTGCAGTTTGTTATTTAGGTTGCTGATCTTTGAGAAAATAATCAAAACAATATCAATCATGAGCGTTATCCTATTAGCACTAATTCAGATGTTTACCAGTTGAACTATGCTACAAACTCTTGACTTAACTTGAAACTCATCTATGGAGGCGTATGACTCAGTTGAACAAAAAGTGACTGAGACCTTACTCCTCATCAAGTACTAGTTCAGATATAAAGAGAGCTTGTCATGGTTACAGTTCTCAAGGAGCTTATAGAAGTGGAAAGAAAAACACATAAGAAAAATAATTTTAGTATAAGATGATAAACAACATAGTGGTATGTAAAGACAGACATAATACCATGAAGTTTAGTGACAAATTTCTTAGAGATGGTATTTGAGCTGAGACTTACAGAATGAGAAAAAAAAAAGTGACCTAGGTGAAGAGAGGACAGATTTTCCAGGCACAGGGAATAGCATGTACAAAGAAGAAAAGAATTGTGACACTGCACAGTATATGAAAGAAACAATAAAACTTTAAAAATTGCTATAGTAATCTGATACTGCTGTAACATTCAATCTATATTATTGTATTTTGTTAATGTCTGTTTATTGCTGATTAAATGTTGTTAGAAAGCAACATTGTCCTTCACTATAGATAGTTTGAGAGGCGCTGGCCTAGAGAATCTAATTCAATAGCAGCCTGGCTGGGAAACAAGGTTCAAGTAGCAGAGAGTGCTAGATCATAAGGAAGCCTCGTTTCCCAGCGTAAACCATGAAGGACTTTATGAGGCTGGAATGAAGCACTAACTTTCTTCATTCACTAATGACATCAAAAAGGCCTTTATCCACAAAGAAGGGAACAACAGACACTGGGGCTTTCTTGAGGTTAGAGGATGGGAGGAGGGCAAGGACCAAAAAACTATCAGGTAATATGTTTATTACATGGGTAACAAAATAATTTGTATGACAAATCCCGTGACATGCAGTTTGCCTATATAACAAACCTATGCATACACCCCTGAACCTAAAATAAAAGTTAAAAAAATATATATACTTTAAAAAAAAGTCATTTATCACTTGAGAATCTCTTGCTTGACCTTGGATATAAAATATGCCTAGCAAACTAGTTCAATAATTGAAGGAGAGACCTTGTCAGCAATCATCCTTCTAATCATGGTACTTAAGCTACACCATGCTCTGGCATGTGCTTGACCACCTATCAACCACAAATGCTCTGGGAGGAAGTCGCGGATATCCTCTTCTACAATCCTTTCCCTATCCTAAGACTTGACATGGATACTTGTGGCTGCAACCCCAGGCCACAGCAGCCAATGTCCAACTTTCCCTCATGTAAAGCAACAGTTCAGTTATCCTTACCAAAGGACTTGCCTTCACCAACCAAACCAGCAAAGAGTTGGTTACAGGTCTCTGCCACTAATACCACTCCCCACACCTTACCACACACACCATATCATGCTCTCCCCAGACCCTAGCAAACTATCAGCACTGCCCTCAGCAACACAACACCATCTAATCTTTTCCAGGTTGGGCTACAGCCCTTTTCCTACTTGGGACACAGAAGTCTCCATCTCTTGCTCTTTTTTGTTTCTACACTGCAAAGAAAACGGTAAAATACTAAACCAAAGGCCTGGCTGTCTCTCCTGGGAAGAAGTGGCAAATTGCCTATTCATTCTTCACCCTGATGAGTAGACAGCAGCAACGCTTGAAAGTTGCCCATAAATTTCTTAATTACTCACATTGTCACCCCAAGCAACAGATCTTGAACTGTATCCCATTAGTGATGGGATAAAGTTAAAGACTTTAATGAGAAGATAAATATGAGATTTGTGTTTGATATACACCAGTGTGTGTTTAATGTGGAAGACTCATTCAAGAAGAGCAAGGCCAGAAGCAGAGAAGTCATAGGCTATCGCAGTATTCCCCTGGAAAAAGACAAAGGCTTGAGTTAGGGAGTTGCAGTAGGGAGGAAGATGAAGAGGCAGAATAGAATAGAGACAAATGTCTGGAGGGTAAAAATTTCATGATGTGGTGATTAACTGGATGTGGCCAATGGGGAATGAGGAAGAATAAAACTATAGACAATACCCACACTTCCAGCCTGAGTGCCTGAATGTGTCATGGAGGAAATAGCAACGATTGAGATTATGGAGTGAGGAGAATAGGTATGGGAAAGAAAATGGCGCTTTTCTTTTCAGGTGTGTCAAGTTTGAAGTGCTTGAGAGGCAGTCAAGTGATTCTACTGGTGGAAAAATTGAGCTAGTGACAACCATTTCTTACTAAGAGATGGACTCCCCCAGCATCTCTATTTCTTCTTCCTTTTCTTGGAAGCTGAACTTTGTTGTTTTTGTTACTCACAGGCTTAATCTTCAGCTTCTATGCTCCAAGGGTGAAAAAGGAGAAAGTCCTGCAGAATCAATCTCGACTTCCATACCTGCTGCTAGCCTGTACCAGTTGTCTATCTCAGTAAAGTGATGCCCAGCTCACTTGCAATAATTTGGTGGAATCAAAAGGAGCCCTGGGCCTTTCCTGTCCTCTGACATTTTAAAAATTACATTATTCCATTTATAGGAGCATTCCTAGGAAAAGGAATTTTAGGAGAGTAATTTGTGAGCAGTGAATTGACAGCCCAGGAGGCAGGCTCACTAAGAGGCATGCCTTCCCTTGAAGTTTAAAGTTTTCAGGGCCAAGAATTTTTATCCATGAAGACTTTTGTTGGTTTTCTTCTATTAACTACTGTTTGTATTTATTGTTTACCGCTATGTTAATGCAGGGAAAATTTGCATGTGTTTTATTAAATATTAGGTAGAAATCATACCATGCTATTTTTTACATATAAGTATTTTATTTCTGTTTTTGCGTGTTATTTTAATAAATAATTACTGTATTCAATACACTAAAAATACCACAACATGACTGTGAAAATGGCAATGGTATTGTCTTCCCATAGTTATAAATATTTTTGGATGGATTGTTAGAATATATGAACTCGCTAATGAAACACATCTGTAATAAATGATAAAGGGACATAGGATTCACATATCAGAGTCTGTTAGGGGGACAGTGATTTACCAATTCTTTGGTCTTTCTATTTGTCATTCATACTATGTGATGAAGATGTAAGTGTAAAGGCATTTATAACACTATACTGCATTCATTAAGATAATAAGATTATGATTTTTCATTAACTCATTTGATTGATATTCTCTCCATGCATTTTTTATTTCTTTTAGAAATGTAATTATTTGTTCCAGCAATCATTGCTAAACCTCCAGTTTGTAGAAAAACAACACTTTATAAATACATAATTATGATATTATTTTTCAGTGTGTCACTTCTCTAAAAATACCGTATGATTATAGGTTCCACACCATCAGTAGCAAATTCTTCTGTTAAAAGCTAACAGATCAAAGATGACCACTTTTTGACACATGAGATCAAAGTGTCAAGTTGGTCGAGATTTTTTGGAAAGCTTTGGAACTGATGAGCTGCTAGTGGCAGCTCTTTAACCTATGATTATCTAAGCTGATTTTGATGCTAAATTATCCTGATGATCTGAGGGCAATTTGGTGGAGATAGAATCTTGTATTTAAAATAGCTTTTTAAAACTTGTTTTGTGTAATGTACTTGACAACTTCCATCTTTAGGAGTTATATAATCATCTCGATTTTAGCTTCCTGATGTTTGGACTATTTATAACCAAGGACACCAAGCAAACATAAGCATATGTATATTTCTTACTGGTGTCTCTTTGAGATGGATGGGAAGTAGAAAAAAAAAGAAAGGAAAAGAGGAGAGAAAAAGGCAAGGATCTTCTCTATGTAGGTTTTGACTTTGAGCTGTTGTGCCCATGCTTAATTCTAACCTAGAAGTCTTTAAGTGGTGAGCCAGTGACTGGAGCATGCCAATCAAAGAACATTTGTTTTCAGAAAAAAAAAAGATCTAAGTTTGAGACCAGTGTGGCCAACATGTTGAAACCCCATCTCTACCAAAAGTACAAAAATTAACCTGGTGTGGTAGCACACGCCTGTAGTCCCAGCTACTTGGGATCCTGAGGGACGTGAACTGCTTGAACCCAGGAGGTAGAAGTTGCAGTGAGCTGAGATGGCCCCACTGCCATCCAGCCTGGGTGACAGAGCAAGACTCAATCTCAAAAAAAAAAAAAAAAAAAAAAAGAAAGTCCCAGCACTCCTAGATGATTTACTGAGCTCTTCAGCAAAAGCCATGTTACCATACAGCATATTGCCAAGAAATGAACTCCTAGGCAATTTAAATTACAAGTAACATGTTAATTTGGTTACTAGAGAAACCATTTTCTCTACATTTTATGAGCATTGTTAGGAAAGAGTTTACAAGAATCAGGAAGAGGGAAAAATGTTAATGGTCAGAAAAGAATAACATTTATTCAGTTCAAAAAGTGTACACAAAGAATATACATGAATCTAACAACTACAGAATTAAACCTTTCAAAAAGGTCAAAGGAGGATTGAAACGTTTACAGAGATGTCCATGGCATTTTATATCAATCTCAAAGGTAAGAGCTGCTTTTTTGTAAACTAACTTAAATTTCTATTGAGATAGGATAATTTGTTTTCAAGCCAAAGTTATCATTAATCAGATGGTTCTTAATTATCTGATTTAGATAATCTACTTTTTATGCCTGGCTTATTATAAGCATGTTATACTGATATACAGTTCAAACATCATTGCAACAAAGAAGTGCCTGTATTTAGATCAAAGGCAAGACTTTCTATGTGTTTGTTCTGCATGACAATGTGAATATAATTTAAGTCTATCAGTAGTCAAAACGTAAACAAAAGCTAACTAACTGGCACTGTTGTCACCTGAGACTAAGTGAATGTTGTTGGCTGACACACACAGGCTCAGCCAGCAGAGAGAGAATTCTGAATTCCCCTTGTTGAGCTGAACTATTCTATTACATATGGTTGACAAATCTGTGTTATTTCTTGTCTACCTGCTATATTTAAATTTATGAGTATCAACCGAGGACATACTTAAACCTTCAACGATGAATCTGCCTGATTTTTTTGCCTGATTATTCTCTGTTGAGTTCTACGTGTGGTTATTCAAGATTTCATGAGATTCTGAAAAGAAAACAGAATATGACCTTGAAAAGTTGTATTTTGAGTGACTATATTCTCACTACTATGAAACTGTCAATTATTGCCTAATGTTAAGATATCCATCATTGTGATTAATTAAACCTATAATGTGTCTTCTTAATGGAGAATTTGTGATGGATTCTCCCTTGATCTTTTCTTTAAACTCTCTCCACACACACAGGACTTTTCATATTTCACTAAATGAGTATTCTGCCCCTATTTCTAGAGAATTTGTCTTTTTGGCTTGAATATACTTGTTTTCTTTTCTAAATACTTTTTAAAGAAAAAAACTTTTGATAAATAAGGGAAAATACTAATCTTGCCATCAATATTACATTCCTGAATTTGAAGTCAGAGATCCTACCAAAATCAAGGTCACCAAGAATAATTTTAAAGTTTCCAAGAACTGTTTAAGTGTTTTCCAGTCTGACCAAGAATTCTGACATTTAAAAATAAGCAGAAAAATATGACTATTAAAATCATATTTTCCTTTTAAAAAAGTCCAGCAAAGTGATCATGGGCAATATAATAAGTTAGTTAACACCCAATCCAACATTCACTATGTGCCAGGAACTGTGCAGAAAACTTCACAGGCACCATCTCAGTTAACAAAATAGTAAGAAACTATTCCTTATATATGAGTAGCAGCATCCAAAGCATCTCCCTTGTAAAGATATGAAAACGAAAGCAGATAGTTAAGTAACTTGCCCAAGGTTATTCTACTAGTTAATAGGAAAAATTTGAATTCCAACATATGCCCAAATCCCTGTTCTCCGTCAGTACACTACTTAGTCTTTTTAAGCCTCAGTTTGCTTATCTATAAAAAGGGATGAAAGCATTATGCCCCAGGGCATAATCAAAAATGGGGACCAGGCCTACCTCACTGTACAGTTTGAAAAATGAACAGCTATTTCACACAGTTGACAAGAAGAAGAGCTGAACTGGGATTCATGAGCAAAGAGAAACAAAACAAATGAGTGCTATGAATGCCCTGACGAATTCCAGACTGGCTGTATAGCAGAAGATCCCTAATTAGAACCTGAGAGTCTTTTTAAGTTGAGATGACAGCAATTGGAACCAAGAGACAAAAGTGGCTGGAATTTGTGGAGAATGGAACCAGGGAGGAGAGGGCTACAGAGAGAAAGACCTCAAATTAAAGAAAAATCTATAAAGGTGATTTTGTATCTGATAATAATGGTATAGGAAGGTGTGAACACACTTAGGGTAAAACTCCATGAGACCAAGAAAGGAACAACTGGAAAAGGGCAACTAAATAGTTGTATGCTGAAAATATCTAGATCTTATATGGAATAGAGAAACATTCAAGGTCTGGTCAACCATATTCAAAAATCCTCACTGGTCACCTTTCTTAATGTCCTGGGAATAGTCATATTTTAGTAGTTGTTCTAAAATACCCCTAAAAACATTTCTAGATAAGCCCTAACACAGCTTAAAAGTAGACTTGCAAGAATTAAGCTAATCCACACAATATTTAACAGGCTTCTAGAGCAAAGTCTGACAATCTTTTATAAAGAAAACAAAATGTAGCATAACGACAATTCAACATAAAAGTCTAAATATCCACCATTTAATCCAAAATTAAATACATGCCCCAGAGAAGTAAATTGTGAACCATAAACCCTGAGAAAAATTTATTAACGACAATAGACTAAGTCAAAAGTGATAAAAAATATGGGTACTTTACAACAAATTCCATGATGTTGGTATTACCTGATAATAAAATCAGCCAAAGATATTACAAAAGAAAACCTATAGACTAATAGCCTACATGTACAAAAACATCAAAACTATTAACTAAATTTTAGCAAATCAAATCTATCAAATTAAACATAATAAGTGAGATTTATTCCAGGAATCCAACTTGTCTAATATTTGAAAATCTATCATTGGGATTGTGATTCAACATATAAACAGAATAAAGGGAAAAAACTGTATCTCAATAGATGTAGACAAAGCACTGACAAAATTAATATTTATTTATGATAAAACCTCTCACTACATTAAGATTAAAAGAGAATGTCCTCAATCTGATAAAGCACATTTATGAAGAACCCACAGCTAACTCTTAACATAAATGGTAAAAATCTAAATGCTTTTCCTTAAAATTAGAAACAAAGTAAGCATATTCACTGTTACCTTTTATATTTAACATTGTTCTGGCCTGGTGGCATAGCAGGGTAGTTATAGCCAATGCAATAAATTGTAAGAAAAAAAACCATATAGATTGGAAAGGAAGATGAAAAGATTATACATAAATCCTGATGTCTACAAAAAAAGCTACTAGAATTAATAACTGAATATGTTATCTTGCAGGATACAAGATCGATATGCAAAATCAACTGATACCTCTTGCTAGTAACAAAAAAAATGGAAATTGAAAAATTTTTAAAATATGACAGAATAATGTCAACAAATATAAAATTCTCAGGGTTAAATTTTTCAAAATATATGCACTTCTTGAACACTTAAAACTGTCTAACTTCTGAGAGAACTTAACACTGGATCATGGATTAAAAGACTCAATATCATTAAGATGTCATTTGCACTTAAATTGATGTATAGATTCATCACAATTCCAATCCAAATTCAGCTATCCTTTTTATAAAAATTGATAAGATGGTTCCAAAGTTTATATGGAAATGCAAGTACTTAAAATTGTTAAAAGTTTTTTAAAGCAAATAGTTGGAGGACATACCACTAGATTTAGGGGTTTAATATAAAGTTACAGGAATCAAGACAACGTGGTACTGACTTAGGAATAGAATTTAATTGGTGCAACAAAATCGAGATTCCAGAAATAAGTGCTTTACCCCATATATACACTCATTTATGGTCAATTGATTTTTTTAGAAGTATTTCATAGTAATTCAATGAGGAAAATGCAGTCTTTTCAATAAATGGCTTGGTACAATAAGACACCCAAGTACAGAAAACAAAAACAAAAACAAAAAAAGCTCAACACTTAGCCCAGACACACGCAAATATAACTCAAGATGTGCCATAAACTTAAACATTAAATTCAAATCTATAACATTTGCCTTCTTTAGAATTGGTTAAAATTTCCTACATAAGATACAAAAAAAATAAAACTAAAAACAAAATGATGAATTTTGTCAGAACTAAAAATTTCTGCTTTTTAAATGGGAATTAATAAACTGAAAAATATAAGTCAAAGAATAGATGATTTACTGTGTGTGTGTGTGTGTGTATGTGTGTGTGTGTGTGTGTGTATATACAAAACAAATGGCTTGTATATAGGATATGTAAGGAGTGAAAAAACTTAAAAATAAGAAGACAATTCACCAAAAAATGGGGGAAATATTTAAACAGATAATTCACAAAAGATGTATGACTTGTCAATATACACATGAAAAGACACAGAATATCACTTAGTCATCAGGAAAGTGCAAATGTAAAACCACAGTGAGCTACTGCAGCATAGCCACAGGCATGACTGAAATTATAAAGGCCACTGATGCCAAGTGTTGGTGGGAATATAGAGAAGCTAAAACTCTCCTGTGTTGCTAGTGAGAATGTAAACTTGTGCAACCATGTGGAAAACAATTTGGCAGTTTCTTTAGAAGTTAAACATATAGGTCTCATATGATTGCCATTTTTATATATTTACCTAAGAAAAATAAACACATTTATCCTGGCTATACAAATACCTATAATCAAATGTTTATAGTAGCTGTATTCATACCAGCCTAAAGCTATAAACAATAAAGAAACAAATTATGTTGTAGTCATACAACTGAATACCACTCAGCAATAAAATGAAACTACTGATATACCCAATTAAATGGATATATCTCAAAAACAATATGCATTGTGCTACACAAAAGTAGCTAGACACAGTGGAGTGCATGCCTCACGGTTTCATGATATGAAATGCTAGAAAAGAAATCAGACCACCGGCTGCCCAGAGCCAGGAATCAAACTGCCAGGAAAGAAGCACAAGGAAACTATCTGGTATGATAAAATGTTCTGTAGTTTGATTATGGTGTTGGTTACATGTGTGTATATATTTGCCAAAACTCAAGTTATACACATAAACTAGGGATGTTTTTGTATATAAGATATACTTTATTAAAATTGACTTAAAAGTATTTTTAGAAACTTACAAGCAGGGAAGGTTATTACTAACTTTCTGTTATGGCCCAAATTGTGTCCTGTCATTACCTCAGAATGTGACTATAGATAAGATCTTTGAAGAGTAACTAAGGCTAAATGCAGTCATTAGTGCAAGTCCTAATCCAACATCACTGGTGTCATTATAAAAAGAGGAGCTTTGAACACAGACGCACATACATACTCACACACACAAACACAAGACAGAGAAGGCCACATGAAGACAGCGACATTGGCCACCTACAACCCAAGAAAATGACCTCAGAATAAAAGCAACCCTGCTGGCGCCTTGATTTTGGATTTTGAGGAAATAAATGTTTATCATTTAAGCCACCCAGTCTGTGATACTTTATTAATGGCAGCCCCTCACAAAAGATTATACTTTCCTACGTGGTTACTGAGAGAATTAAATGAGATTATAAAGTACTGGGGCCATAAAAATATTATCATTTCCTCTCATTTATTCCAATGACTAGAAGGGCTAGAAATATTCATGCTTAAGTTACAGATTAATTGGCAAGTCTGAGACTTCTTTCCAATAGTTGGGAAAATTTCTAAAGCCTTCTATTCTACCACTAGACTAGAACCATCTAAATTTCTAAGCACCATGATTCTCATACTACCTATTAATAATGAACTTTTAGCAAGATTGACATTTGTCTGAGACTGTTAAAATATAGAAATGATTTAGTACAGAATGCTACAGAAATGTACCAGCGGTTATTGACAAATAATTGCTATCCTGGGCCCACTCCTTCCCCAGATGCTCTCTCCATCCCCACCCTGAGACCCTCAGATTTCTCCAGCATCCAGCACCTAAAATGTGCACACCTGACAAAAGTGAAAACATATGTTCTGATAGGTCAATGCTCCATGCCACACCTATGAGTAGGTATTTTGAGTATCACTGGTGTTTAGGGATGTGTTTTGATAATGAAGAGGAAGACAACACAGATGAGTTATTCGAGAAAACAATTATTTTAACTATAGATTTGATTCCCAGAGTATGTTCATTTTGTTAGCCAAATGTCAACCTGAAATATCTCAACTTAGGCACACTTAATATAAGATAAC